TTAGTTTAAATAAAGCATCAACAGATAGATATAGATATAGATATGTGGATGATTCAATATAATGGATAAAATATTAAATTAAGATGAAACTATAATAAAATCATCAGAATATGGAACCATAGCACTGTAATGGGATGGATGTTATAATTCAATATCTAAAGAAGCTCAACATCTAACTGTTTCTAGTGTGGCTGTCATGAAATCATCCCAGGTGCCTTGGAATTTTCTGATGAGACATTCTTGAAATGTGTGTGTTATAGTTGTTCCAGAGCAGCACAGTCAAATTGCGGGCTCTTGGCCATTCTCCACTTAATGAGCTTTGCCTTAGTTCTGTTCTGTCCTATCCTGATTCGATTCATGTGGCTCCATATTTTTTGGGGAAACTGCCCTCCTGGAAGTGGTTTTGTTGGATCTGTGTGATCTGTTTGGTTATGATTATTAAAAGTTGTCCATCTTAATCGGCATTCTTCATCTAGATCTTAAGACACTGGTATGTTATTCCAAATGGGTTTCCTAGACTTAAGCCTGGTGAGAAGTAGACAGTACATATTTTTATACTTATTTTATGTATTGGAAGGTCTCTAGAAGTTGATGGCTTGTTTATCTTATACCAGTCTCGGACTGTCTGTTGTTGTCACCTTAGATCAGGAGGGGCAATGTTAGAAAGAACATGGTGCCATGAGAGCAATGTGGACTTAAGGGTTCCGGTTATTATTCTCATTATATCATTACGGTGAACATCAATCTTATCTGTATGACAACTTCTTTCGTGTATAGGTGCGCAGAAGGAAAGTGACAAAAGAGAACATCTGTTTCAAAATGTCATCTCTGATGCCAAGGATCAGCTGATCCATGAGACCAGGGACCTGTTGGAAAGGAAACATACCACTTTCACTTGTTTCCTCTTCCAGCCCAGTCAGGTGGCAGAGTTTTAGTTGAACAGGACAATTGGCTCTTGCTTGTTAGGTCTTTGATGTGCAAAGATCAAAAGATCATTGAGAAAGCTGTTGTATCTTCCCCTCAGTCCACATAGGCAAAGATGGAGTGAATTCTGCTATAGTTAAACCTGTGATTACTCAGCTAGTAATTTAACTTGGTTTTGTTCTGTGAACTCATCACTTTTTGAGCAGACAGGAAGGGAGGATGCAAATTCTGACAAATGGCTGCACCTATAGCCATTATAGTATAGCCATTTACCATTTATCAGTATAGCCATTTACCATAAGGACTGCAGGTCACAGCAGCGTGTTTGGTGGATGGGTTCTTTCTTGCAGACATGTGACACTCAGAAGAGTCAAGGAGTTCTATCAGTACTCTATACTGTGCAATACAGCAAATGTCCCAATGCTGATTTTTCTCTAATGTCAGAGGTTCCTAGTCCCCAGAAAGGAGGCCATTCTGTTTTTCGGTGTGTTCTTCCCCATACTTCAGTTCAATATTTTCCACCTATCTATGAACTGGTACAAAACTAAAGCAATATAACTTTTTCTGTAGCAATGGATGAATCTTGTTTCTTCCATTTTTGTAAAAAAAAAACATGCTATCCTTATTACAAATTTGTTAATCACATTTAATTATTAATTTAATTATTAATTATTGTTAATCATATTGTTAATCATATTTAATAACTGCAGACTACAAATTAGATATTAGGCTATTTAACATATTCGTTCATCTATTTACACTTGCTATTCGGGGCATGAACATTTTAATTTTTATATATTACTATAGCTCCAGAGAAAATTGCAATTGCAAAGATAATATCTAGATAATATATGAATATATTGTTAGATATAGAACATAAAATATAAGCTAGAAAATGAGTTTTGCTATTAAAGCATTGCAGATTTTCGTCATATTATTCTATAGAGAAGTAAATTTTAATAACATCAATGGATCTTAACTGTCAAATAAATACAACTGAAATTAAGCTGATGCCCTAGTACAGCAACAAAGTGATCAACAGTAAAAAAAAAATCTGGTCCTCCTTATATTTTGAACTATAATTCCAAGTATCCCTCATCATTCACTATGCTGAATAAGATTGATAAGAATGGTAGTTAGCAACAACTGGAGCACCACAGGTTCTTTGATCGAACATTTTTGCTTTTACTGCTTATTACCTTTGCATATTATGCTTGCATATTACTGCAAACAAATCAATTTGCAATCCAGAAACACACTTAATAGCCAAAAAAATGTATATTCTTTTGAAGCGAACTCAAATGTTTTGAATTTTTGTGTGCAGTAAGTGCAAATGATCTGTTCTTTATAAGTTCAAATTTATTTCTGTATTTGAAGTAATAAATTACTTAGAAGATAGGAAAATATAGATTTTTAAAATGAAAAGATTGGAACTGATGTTTTCTTGTTATTAGAATACTTGTTTTTTGTTAAATTATACACAGAGATAAATGGAATAAATGTGAAAAAAAGAAACTATGATAAGTATATTAACTAAGTTTAATAAATTCAAGAATAAAGCTAAAATGAATTACGAAGATTGCTATAAAAAGATTAACACCAGTTTTTATGATCAATTGAATAGATTAATTTATTTGAAATTATAAATGATTTAATGTAACTGAATGGGAAAATACCATGCGGAATCTGGCCTAAAATCCATACATGTTACGTAGTTGTTAGGAGATTATTGTTATGAATTTTTAAGGTGATAATTAAAAAGTGATAAATTATTATGAGGAATTAAAGAGGAGTTATTTAAATGATGTATAAGATACATTCAAGTTAGTAATTACAGGGGAAATTTTTTGAATGATTTCAATTAGGATGGAATTTTTGGAATAATGAAATAAGATTATGCGATGAAATTGCAAATGTGACAGATAAAAATATAAAGTATAATGAATATGAAGATATGAGAATTATTTAAAGTAAAAAGAAATAAGTTAAGAAATGAATAGAAAATATATAAAATAAGTTTGAGAAAAATATTTGAGAAAATTTATAGAAAATATGTAATGTAACGATATGATATGAAATCAAATGTCAAAGATGAATATGTAACCAAGGTCATGTTTGTATGGAAATGTGAAAACCTGGAATCATGCTGTTCACTAAAAAAGATATTTTTGAAATGTGAAAAAAGAAAAAAACTTTTTAACAAAAAAAAATGGAATACCCTTAAATATATATTCTAAGTGAACAAAAATAAAATATTCATTGGCATGTATCCAGGAATGGGATTCAGCCAATTTGGGCCGGTCCAGGCGAACTGGATATTAGATTTACACCTGATTCACTGAACCGGTAGTTGAACCGACCAGCTGGCCCTGCCCATCCTGCCTCTCCCCTGCCAGGAGTCTCCATGCAGCCCATTTTGGATGTAGGTAAGTGCAGGGTCTGTGCAGAGGCTCTGCAAGGGTGAAAAACGGCCCTCCCAGAAATTCTAGAAGTCCAGAAACAGGCCTGTTTCTGACTTCCGGAAGGCCTCCGAAGCCTAGGGGAGGCCGTTTTCACCCTCCCAGAGGCCCAAGGGAAGCCTCCAGACTCTGGAAAAGGTGAAAAATGGCCCTCCCGGAAGTTCTGGTAGGGCACGCCCACCATGGCCACGCCCACCCAGCAATCAGGCAGAGAAGCGGTTGTTGGGATTTTTGAATCCCACTCCTGCATGTATCCATTAAGGATGAACTCTTTCAAAACAAACAAAAAAAATGCTTTGAAGGAATTCATAGTTTTTCTGAAGCATTCTGAAATAAAGCAGGTTGCAAACCAAAGAGAATAGCAGTGAGGAAGTTTAGATGTGAATCCTCAGATTAATCCCCGTTTACAAACAAATTATGCTCTAAAGACCTCTCCTGAAGTTTAGAGAAACACTCAAGACATATATTTCACAGTCTCTGTGAACTTCCCCTCAATGCAAATCTATGGAGACTGTTGCCTCCATTATTTGTACATGAGAAGATAAAAATCTACAACCCCGATCTAAAATAATTCACTATTGAATCGTGAGGGTGACCATGAGAGAATGGGTTCACAGTAAAATATATGTAAAACAACATGTGAATATCATTTTTTTCTGTTACTGACTACTCTTAACACAATGCAATGTATGATATGAACAGTAACCTTTTTATTTAAAAATCTGATAATCTTGTTTTTATAAAAATAATTCTTAAAATATTGAATTAAAAATAACGCTATTGAGCTACTATATTTAAAAGTAAAATTTTTTACTTCCTTTTATATACAAATGCTTGAAACAAATATTTGGTCACTCCTGATGTTTCTAAAGTGAAACAGCCTTCTAAAGTGAAACAGCCTTCTAAAGAGAATTTGGAACCGGTGATTGGAATTGGAATTTGGAAAGTGATAAGACTTGATAAAATCAGCGTTTTCCCTACTTGATGCTCCTTAAGACTGAAAGGACTTTTCTCTAGCAAAAGCAGTAGCCTGTCCCCCCCCCTTACACATTACTTTGTGTAAGTTTTACGATGATGTAAGATAGCAATAAAATGGGATGTCCTCCAGGATAATACAGAAATTTAGAAATGGGGGGGGGGGAGTAGCTCTTAATAATATTTTGGTCCCAGGGATGACAAATCTAAAGAAGTAATCTTTTTGTGCAGCAGGAGTTGTAGGAGGAAGCAGCAACAGCAGACTTGCTTTGCCTTTTAAACATCCTGGACATTCTGTATCCATCTCACTGACATTTCTTAATTTCTGATTTAACTGACTGTGTTGGTAAATGTTACTGTAATGTTAATATAAGATCCAAACTGTTGATAAATCAGCTTCTGTACCATACTTTTTCTTTTACAGACTTACAGAACTAAATATATCTTTGGTCAGCTCTAGCCTATTAATATGATGAAGCTGTGTCCTTATGATCAACATATGTGTACCATATAAAACCAACAGAAAGAATAATCATTCTGAAAAGCCATCCTATATAACCAATTGTGTAAAATGACTCCAACAGGCAACAAGCAACCTTTTACATGATGGGAATGGAGTGGGGAGAAAATTCAGATGCTTACCCTGAATCTGACTCTGAGGCTGAGGATTAAAAGCAGTTGTGTGGTTCAAGGAAGCTCTTGGGTTGGGTGCCGGGGCTGGATGATGTGGGCTAACCCTTATAGCTGTGCGACGCAACTGTTCCAGTTCACTCAGGCGCTCTGAAAAGGACAAACTTCCAGTCTTTGTCTGCTCATCTAGTTTCTGACGATGTCCTATTGTGGAAACATTGTGGGTGGAGAGAGAAAATGAGAAATTGTCTTATTGACACACACAATCTGAGGCTGTATGGTAATTATCCATTACAGCACTCAGAAAACCAATGGTCTGTTCCATATTACTTAAGCATGATATCAAACAGTCTAACTAAAACCCTACATTTCAATGGAAGTAAGACTAATTTCAGCTGGATTGGAGTAGAAACCTTGATCCCACAGAGAAATGCATACATAACTCTACTAGTTCACACTGTACATTATAATAACGTCTGACAAGCACTACACATGCCTATGCCTATTGTACTTATCAGGTGATAACAGGCATTTTGTGATTAAAAGGGTTGTAAGTTGTCACCTGAAATATGACACTTTCATCTCTTATCCTCTCTATTAATTTATTTATTCTTTGCTAAAGATTAAAGAAACAAAGTAATATACTTCATGAGATTCCTATCTGTCACTATTTTTTACTCCATACCATTCTGTTTTAAATTTATTTGTCACAGCTTATTAATCTTCATCAGGGTAGCTGGGGAAGACTGGGTCTGTACTCCAAGAGATAAGTCGCAGACAGGTTTTTTTGTAAAGCTCAAGAAAACATCATGGAGCTTGCTGATTCTTATGTGAAATAAGTTCATTGTATTTTATTCTTTTGCCCATTAGAGTTTTAATTCAAATTTAAGACTGTATACAATAGGCTGCAAACAATCATCTGTAAAAGGTAAGCATATTCTGCAAGTCTGGGTTGCAAACATCGAAACCTTCATTAGGGTTACAGATTTTTTTTAACCCAGTAGAGCTATTCTTTCACACACACCCCCCCAAAATGAATTTTCATGAAGGTAAGAAGTTAGCAAAATTGAGAAAAATGTACACTTAAAAGCAAAGTCTAGTAACTGAAATTAAATTTTACAACTTGTGTTAAAGTTCCAAATTTGAGCAATGTATCTCTTCTTTGTTCTGCCAGACTCTTTGGCACAGTCTGCCAGAGATAGCATTATAATGAGCTATCAATTATCTCTGGAATGAAAGAAAAGCAGGACATATCTAGAACTAGAAATGAATTTAATATTGCATCCATTAATTTATACAACTTCCCTACTGCTCTTGTAAAAACAACAACAGCTCAGAGACAATCTTTTCTTTTCATAATTTTGTAGTTCAAATGGAAACCATCTTCTTATGTACAGCATATCCAGAAACACAAATTGGAATTTGAACTCAATATTTGGATTCTTCATATATTTATTTGAATGCAAATATCTTTATTAATGTACAACCTGTGTACATATACTCATAGTTAAAAATAAAAAATAAGGTAATACAAATAAAATAATAAAATAATACAGAGATTATTACCAGTGCTAACTTTTGACAGGCACCCATAACCTGATATTGTTTGGTTTTTATTTTCTAGTCTGTACATACTCTCTCCCCTTTTGTATAGATGTGATATATAGGTATTGATAATTTAATGCAAAAAATTGAACAATCCCATGTAATACAAACTGTGATATTTCTGTGATAGTTCAGTCATTTAATAATAATGTATTAATTTGGGAGTTGATGGACCTCTCACAAAGGTGTTGTAGCACCTTCTTACCTACACTATCCTTTCAGTGCTTACTGATTTTTATTCAGTTTGCAAGGGTAAAATATTCTCTTTTAAATAGTAATCTAGATATAGACCAATACTATTTTTTAAAAAAATCATATAAAGCAATGAAGTATCCTTTGAACTCAGTTTCTAATGGCTACATAGACAATAACATCTCCACATTTTCTTTTTGCAGCTAGTTTGCCATAGCCTGGTTCCAAGAAGTTGTCCAGTGTCATCTGTGGTAAAAATAACATGAATGCAATTTAAGTCAATTGTGATAATGAAATATTCTGCATTCTAAATAAGCTTTATTAGAGCGCCTATATAAAACACCTCTATCCAGTGGTGGGATTCAGTGGTTTGGGTGAACTGGTGGTAAAAATTCTGGCTGGCCCCGCCCCACCCAGTTACTCCTCATCTCGTCCGCTCACCCTGCATAGGTGCTGCTGCTCTCCGTCTGGATCCCTGGCTTGCCTCCACCACATGGTCTCTGTGGGCCAGAGACGCTCTCCATGCACCCCACCTAAACTGCCCTAATCTGCCTGGGTGAGTGATTGCTAGCAGCAAGGCCTGAATCCTGGCCTAGCTGCCTCCTATGTTACCCCAGGGTCCCTGAGGCCCAGTGCACTTGCCTGCCTTCCCCGCTGCCTTCCCGCTGTCTAAGGTACTGTTCTTACCTTACTGTTCCATCCGTAGAGCGCTGCGGCACAGACAAGTAGCTGCTGACCTGGAGAGCACATGGAGCTGCTCCACGTGTTCTCTGGTGACCTGTTTTCACTGCTGGGAAAGCAAAGCGTCTTGTGCAGCACAGTGAAATTTAGCTTTGAGTCCTGCAAGTCCCACTCCCATTGGGAAAGGGCTCCAGGCGGCAGAGAGAAGCAGCCAGGTTGAATCCTGTTTCTCTCTGCTGCCCACAGCCCTTTCCCGATGGGAGTGGGACTTGCAGGACCTAAATTTCACTGTGCTGCACAAGACGTTCTCGCTCTCCCAGCAAGAGCAGCAGGGGAGATAAAACAGGTTGCCAGAGAACATGTGGAGCGGCTCCATGGGCTCTCCAGGTCAGAGGTGGCTTCTCTCCCCTGCTGCTCATGCTGGGAGAGCGAGAGTCTTTTGCAGCACTGTGAAATTTAGCTTTGGATCCTGCAAGTCCCACTCCCATTGGGAAAGGGCTGCAGGTGGCAGAGAGAAGCAGCCAGGTTGAATCCTGTTTCTCTCTGCTGCCTGCAGCCCTTTCCTAATGGGAGTGGGACTTGCAGGACCCAAAGCAGCAACTCCCGGTTGCTAAAGTAAATTTCGCTGTGCTGCACAAGATGCTTTCCCAGGGCCCTGAGGGCTGCCCTCCTGGAGCATCGCCACTGCCACTCTGGACCTCACCTTCGGGATGGATCAGTAAGTCCTTGCTTTGCTCCCTGGGAAGGGCTGCATCATGGAGGGCTGTGTGTCTGAGCCAGGCGCTTTCTCTTGGGCCTCCTGCCTTGCATGGGGTGGCGGGAGGAGAAAGTATGTGGTGGGGAATGCTGCAGAGGTGGTATTCAACAGGTGCTGACCAGTTCTGGAGAACCGGTAGTGGACATTTTGAGTAGTTTGGAGAACCGGCAAATACCACCTCTGACTGGCTCTGCCCCCATCTATTCTCTTCCTCCTGAGTCCCAGCTGATCAGCTGGGTCTTCTTTCGTTGCCCTGCACAGGAGAAGGGAGCTGGAAAGCAGGTTAGCGGGATGGGAAAGAATGGGATTTTGCAGTAACCTTCCCCTGCCATGCCCACGAAACCACACACCACACCCACCAAGCCACACCACGCCCACCAAGCCACGCCCACAGAACCGGTAGTAAAAAAATTTTGAATCCCACCACTGCAGTTCTTGCAGCCAAAGCTGGGAATCCCGGGATGTCTGCAAACTTGCGTATGTATGAGGTTTTCTGCCTTGAGCAGAAAGTTGAACTACAAGACCTCCAAGTTACCTTCTGATTCTAAAGTCTCCAAAACAAGGGAATTTGCTTAAATGGTGTGTGTGTGTGTGTGTGTGTGCGCACACACACATGCATTGGGTTAAATAAGCTGGATGACAATGGCGGTTTCATCCAAAGAAGTTTTTGTTTTAGGTGGGTCTCACTCTTATAGCCTTTGAAGGAGAGAGGGAAGGAGGAAGGGAAGGGAAAGAAAAAGAGAGTGAGAGAGAGAGAAAAAAGAAAAGAAAGAGAGAGAGAAAGAGAGAGAGAAGGGAGGGGAAAGAAAGAAAGAAAGAAAGAAAGAAAGAAAGAAAGAAAGAAAGA